AGCTAATATTAAAATTTGCAAAAGAAAGTATCTGTTATAGACCCATTACATGGGTGTCTTGCACATGTGTGAAGGTATTGCTGATTCTGAGGCACATGCTGGAATTTCAGAGACATGCACTCTATCATAAAATCAATGTCTTTAGCAGGGAGGTCTGTAGTTATTTTATTAAGACAACGCCAGACCTCATTTCCGCACGATTTGGTTTGTTTTTATAGACACGCAGCAAAATGTGCTCTACTGGTCGGCCAGAAGACCAGATCTGCTTCCTTTGAAAATCGACAGCACATTATAAAAAAATAAAAAATCCGACAGTGACATCACAATTTTAACTGTTGAGCAAATTAAATCATGTTTAACATCATTTAGCAAAACTGTCAACACAAATTGTCCTATATCAAAAATTTTACAGTGTAAAACGGTGAAATTTGAAGTTCATGAGTGAACAATTTTTTTTTAAATCTCTTTGTCCTCTTGTAGTTTTTCCTCATGAAAAAAATGTTTATTTTTATTAGGATTTTTGTAGAAATTTTGTGAACAAGAGTAATTTCAGAAAAAATCAACAAAAGTTACTGAACTTGTTTTACTAATGAATTAATGAATAAACAAGATTCAGGTGTTTTTAATTTACAACCTATTGGTCAGACATGAGGGCTTTTTTGAAGGAATGAAAAAAAATCTAATTTTCATAAAACATGTTTGTTGATCTTATCATGACTCGAGTAACGAAATTGTTAACAACACAGAAGTTACAATTAAAAAAAAAAACTTTTTGAACTCTTCCAACCCACAGAGAATTATATACAAATATCAGTTTGACCCTATATACCAAAAATGCTTGACAAAAAAAAAAAAACTTCTAAGCGCAGGAGCACTTAATGAACCAAAGTGTAATGTTTCATCAACTAACGTCTCAGATCATGATGGAAAACGTTCATTTTTATGAATCTACAAAAATAATTCATTAACACATATGTTTTTCTTGCACAATTGCAGTTTCATTTGCAAGAAGAAAAAAAACTGTGTCAAATCAATGAAACATGGTGGTGGTGACATCATGATTTGAGTTTGTAATCAAGGCAACGATACGAACTCTCCGTTCTCGCAAAATCTAATGAGAAATTATTATGAATTAAAATCTGACTTTTTTTGGTAGAAAAACAACATAAAGTTATTTCATTACTGAAGTGTGGAAAAAGAGTCTAAAAACAAATTTAAAACTTTTTTTTCCCAATTTTTTTTATGGATTTTATTGTTTGTTTTCTTGCAGATGGAAGTGAGGTTGGGTGGAGTGTAAGAATCACAAACAACTTGAAAGCTTTCTTTTGCGCTGCAGTTCTGGACTGATCAACTACTGAACAAGATAATCTGCAGGATTTCTGGAAAAAGTGGGGTCAAACATGATACTGACTGCAAGGTTAAATATGTTTTTATAGTTACTAAACTGCCTTTCTTGGCATTTCCCCAATAAATAAGGTTTCAAATGTAACTCGTCTTCTTTAACTAACTTTTTCTTATTTTAGACATTAAAGTGACCGTTCAGAGCTTCAAATGTTAGATTCTGTGGAGAGGCGATGGGCAGTTTATATCTTACCTGTTGTAAATAGGAAATTATAAATCCAAATTAGGTTAAAAATAAAGTGTCTTGCTGTTATTTTAAATTAAATTATATCCATCCATCCATTAACTTTACCCACTTCTTCCATTTCTGGTCACGGGGGTCACTGGTGCCCATGTCCGTCTATCACTGTGTGAGAGGCGGGGGACACCCTGGACTGGTCTCAAGTCCATAACACTTAGAGACAAACGAGACAAACAACCATTCACTCTCTCACTCACACCTAGGGACAATTTAGAGTTACCAATCAGCCTAACATGCATGTTTTTGGTCTGTGGGAGGAAACTGGAGTACCCAGAGAAAACCCACGCATGCACGGAGAGAACATGCAAACTCGACCCAGAAAGGCCTCTGGCAGGGATTTCAACCGGTGACCTTCTTGCTGAGAAGCAACAGCGGTACCAACTGAGCCACCGTGTCAACCTAAATAAAATTCCAATCCACAAAAATAATAGCATAGCAATTCATTTTAAGGTTTTTTATAATCCTTTAAAATGGCATCCAATGATTGCATAAAATTATTTGATTATTTACACATAGCTACAGCAACATGTAGTTTTATTGCAGCCTGGCAAAAATTTTTGCATTGTTTTTGTTAAAATATTTATGTAACGCAACACTGATTGTGTCAAATATTTATTTGTTTTCTTGTTTGCACAAACTGCTTTGAAAGCTTTTAATGTTTGGTTTCATGACTGCAGAAGTCTGCTTTGGAACTCCATCCCTTGGGCATCTTGTTAGCTTGTCAGTTCGGTCCAAATTAAATCATCTTGTCCACAACAGGTAAGACGATAATTGTAAATAACTTGAAAATTCATGACTGAAACCCAATTCAAATATCTGAACTATCACTTTAACTTAAGATGAAAAGTAGCAGCCAGTCTCTGCTAACAAATAATGAACCAATCATCAGCAAGCGTGAAGGCATCTATAATAACAGAACAATAAATAATGAAAGCTGTTTCTATTATTAGGACCTGAAAGATAATATTCAGATGCATAAACATTTAAAGTGAAAGATCATTTGAACAATATAATCTAAAATGTATGTCTTTGCTAAACTGGAGGATAAATATATTTGAGGCGATTCAAAACCAGAACGGGCTCCAAAATGTGTTTTCATGACGTTGAAACCAAGCTCAGCACGCTTCACAAAATAAAACATAACCACAAGGAATGTTTGCAACAAAGAGGAAGAAGAAAAAAATGTAATATGAAAAAAATGAAAAAGAAGTAAACAGAATTTGCAGCGGTCGAAAACAACACGGTTCTGGGATCAAAACAAGGGGATGGAGCATTTTTAGAGGCCCTGGGATTGCTGTGGGCTGAATTAGATTTAAAAGATTAGTCTGAATTCGTTTGATCGTAATATTTGTTGCCTTTTGTCCCCTTCTCTGGGAGTGATGGGACTAAATCTTGAAAAACCAACGTATAAGCTTATTTATAATCTCTAGATGGGAGGAACCAGTGCAAGTTGGGGGCTGGGCGCAACATCAACACCACCTGTGGAGCATAATGTGATTTTCTGTGTTTTCATCATCGCCTGCTTCAGCAAGGATGGACAGTAATGATTTTGTCTCTGTCTCTGTTACCAAATATCTCACTGGACAAATTATATATATTTTAATGAAATAATTCTTCTAGAACTGACTTAACCCAATTAAATATGGCCGCCGCAGCCAAATCACCTTTAAAAACACAACAGTAGCTAAAACTTAAGTGTGAGTGTAGCTGAGAGTCACACCAGTCAAATATCTTCACTGGATTATTACTTGAAACTTCAGCATTCATTTACACAGCTTGTCTGTTAGCAAAATATCTCAAGAAAACCCTTCAGAAAATGAGCAGCTCGCCGCCACCGTTAATCGACATTAGGCAAAACAAAAAAATAGTTTGAACTCGTTCAGCTTTGCAGGTGTTTATTTTGATGTGGTAGTAGCTGAGGGTCATTTGCAGAACATATTCAGAGCATCACGAGCTCAGCTGCATGTTTCCACATGAGATGGTCTCATAGCCTAAAAGCCTGCACGGCAGCGGGCGACATGCATTCCTTAAGGGATGACTTTTACTTGTGAATGAGTTCATGAACCTTTTTTTGGCCAACACTGCACGGATGTTCCTGTTATCCTGTGTGAAACCTGAGAGTCACTCGTGTCGCAACACCCCCCCCCCCCTCCTTCCCCAAACACCCTTTTTGCGGGGTAAGTCCTTGCCAACAGGATAACACCTCAAAGTGTTCTTGCGTGTCAGCGCCAACACGCAAACACTGGTGACTATTTGTGCGACCAGACCAGAGAGGGGGGGGGGGTGGCGTTCAGAGAGTCTGGCACGTTTAAAAAAAGGCAGCGAGTAAATTTTCCTGTATTGTTCGGCGCAGACTGAGAGGCTGGGGAGTTCAGCTCAGTTCACCTCAGTTCAGAGGCAGCTCTCTGCGCGCGCGATGAGTCGTGTTGGCGACGCCGCCTATCGGCGAGGAGAGGAACAGCGAGACCAATCAGAAAGCGCCACTGGGCCATTTTAACGCCTTGCTGGCGCTCCTTTACGCATGGCTGCAGAGCCGAGCAGAGCGCACGGGATGACATCCCCTCCTGACTTGGGGGGGTCAGGAGGGGGGGTTGGGTCTGGTGACTGTGCAATGGAAGGATCATCTTTATCAGAAACGGTGGCGATCAGTTTGAACCCCGACATTTCAAAATAAATTTAAAAAAAGCGCATCTTCTGTGCGCAATAAGAGGGGAAACCCGTCCTGTCTCCTAACTCCAATAGCCAATCCAGAGGTGTTGCTTTGGTGATGGGGTGGCGTGTGTGTGTGTGTGTGTGGGGGGGGGGGGGGGGCTTTGAGGCGCTCAAAGCTCGCAGCTCTAGCCGCAAGCTCGAGTACCTCTCCACCAAACACACCCACCCACAAACGCACGCACGCACAACGCATGTCTCCCTCTTTGTGCCCGACGTGACGTGCTCGCTCACAAACTTTTGACCATTACATCATAGCTTCAAAATAGCCAAGTCGGCCCAGAGAAAATGACATTTTTACGCACGGTGACATCAGCTGCTGGTGAAAAACACGCAGCAGCCATAAGTCCTCATTGGAGGGGTTGAGCATCAAACATAAATCTTATAATAGCCTATATTAATTTAAAATATGCATATATAAATCTCAAAACTTAAATGAGATCAGGTGACTCTTTTTGTTGCACTACCTGAAATATCCGCTGTCCTTTTCAGAGGATTACATCATTGTCTGCTCAGATAAATGAACTCATATTCAACTCACTGAAAGTGCACATGTGGTGTTTGATAGACAGCGGGATGAATGAATTAATGACTGAGCATTAGGAGTGAGACTAAGAAAAGAGTGATGAAGGGATGAATGATGTTCTACCTGCAATGACTGTGGGCGATCGTTGCCCTCCTTCAGGTTTGATCCACATCTCCAGAGTAAAATTGCTCCTAGGAATCTCCACGCCGGGTTTGAGCCGGAGCTGGTCTCCCCTGCCGGTGAAGTAGACCGCTCTGCCCCGGTGCGCGGAGCTCTCCTCCGCGTAAGAGGAGCGCCGACGCTGGCGGAGCACCCGGCGCTCCGAGCCGGGCAAAGAGCGCTTGCCCCGGGGCAGACGTGTGGCACAAGCCCCCGGGACGGTGGCTCTCGCCTCCCTAAGGCGCACCAGCTCCCTCTTGGATCTCCCCTTCCTCCGGACTGTCCCGCACTCTGCTCCAAAACACAGGATGAGGAGAACCACCAGGCAAGACACCCAGGGTGATGTCCAAAGTTTCATTTTTCGGAAGAAGAGATTGCACAAATATATTTATATATTTCAAACGTGAGGAAAATGAAAAACAAAACAAAAACAAAATAAATAAATAAAACAAAAGTGATCAACTAAAACATGTCCAGAAATGTTCTTCTCGTTGGGATCCTCTTGAGTTTTTCCTTCTGTCTTTTTACAGCAGCAGAATGTCAAAGCGTATAAACTGTCTAAATAAACCCATAAAGCTATGCTGTCCCCCCACCCCCCCACCCCCTCTTTATATTGCTAAGCCACGACCCCCTCTCTTAAGCAAAACTACTCTGGAGACATTCAGGGGACACAGGAATATTTCATTCATGTATGTGTTCCATGGTGCCTTTTCACTGGGTCCCATTTAGCCAAAGGGATGACTAATAACTAGTCAATCAAGAGGGGGGTTCGGCCGATGCCCCCCCCCCTCTTTCAGTCCCTGTGGACAGTCTAGAAGTTACTCGCAGAAATCCACAGTTGTCCGCCAACCTCTTGTCACACCTTTTCGTTGCTTCCTTATCCAACTAGTAAAGCAGCACCAGAAATGGCACGCAGCCCAATAAATCCCACAGAAAAGTGGCAGCAGGGCGACCTGTCATCTTTATTACAGAGAACTTGTGGTCCAAAAGGAAATCCAAAAAGTTCTCCTTTGAGCCTGTGTGCGGTTGTGTTGAAAGATTAGAAGAAGAAAAAAAAAAAAAACAACAACAACAAAAAAAGTTGAAACGCACTGTGATGGGCGCTGACGCGCACGAGACACAGAGGGACAGAGAGCTGCGGTCCTCTGACTGCCTGAAGCAGAGCTTCTCCTGGAGGAGTCGGGAGCTCTCCGTCCGCCTCACACACACGCGCAAGCGCACGCAAGCGCGCGCACACACACGCAGCTAAAAGTCTTTGGAAGAACAAGTCATGTTTCAAATGTTCCGGGACTTGTGTGTGTGTGTGTGTGTGTGTGTGTGTGTGTGTGTGTGTGTGTGT